GCGTGTGTGTCTATGCGCGCACGCGTGTGTGTCTATGCGCACGCGCGTGTGTCTATGCGCACGCGCGTGTGTCTATGCGCACGCGTGTGTGTCTATGCGCACGCGTGTGTGTCTATGCGCACGCGTGTGTGTCTATGCGCACGCCTGTGTGTCTATGCGCACGCCTGTGTGTCTATGCGCACGCCTGTGTGTCTATGCGCACGCCTGTGTGTCTATGCGCACGCGTGTGTGTCTATGCGCACGCGTGTGTGTCTATGCGCGCGCGTGTGTGTCTATGCGCACGCCTGTGTGTCTATGCGCACGCCTGTGTGTCTATGCGCACGCGTGTGTGTCTATGCGCACGCGTGTGTGTCTATGCGCACGCGTGTGTGTCTATGCGCGCGCGTGTGTGTCTATGCGCACGCGTGTGTGTCTATGCGCACGCCTGTGTGTCTATGCGCACGCCTGTGTGTCTATGCGCACGCCTGTGTGTCTATGCGCACGCCTGCGTGTCTATGCGCGCGCGTGTGTGTCTATGCGCACGCGCGTGTGTCTATGCGCACGCGCGTGTGTCTATGCGCACGCGTGTGTGGCTATGCGCACGCGTGTGTGTCTATGCGCACGCGTGTGTGTCTATGCGCACGCCTGTGTGTCTATGCGCACGCCTGTGTGTCTATGCGCACGCCTGTGTGTCTATGCGCACGCCTGTGTGTCTATGCGCACGCCTGTGTGTCTATGCGCACGCGTGTGTGTCTATGCGCACGCGTGTGTGTCTATGCGCGCGCGTGTGTGTCTATGCGCACGCCTGTGTGTCTATGCGCACGCCTGTGTGTCTATGCGCACGCGTGTGTGTCTATGCGCACGCGTGTGTGTCTATGCGCACGCGTGTGTGTCTATGCGCGCGCGTGTGTGTCTATGCGCACGCGTGTGTGTCTATGCGCACGCCTGTGTGTCTATGCGCACGCCTGTGTGTCTATGCGCACGCCTGTGTGTCTATGCGCACGCCTGTGTGTCTATGCGCGCGCGTGTGTGTCTATGCGCACGCCTGTGTGTCTATGCGCACGCCTGTGTGTCTATGCGCGCGCGTGTGTGTCTATGCGCACGCGTGTGTGTCTATGCGCGCACGCGTGTGTGTCTATGCGCACGCGCGTGTGTCTATGCGCACGCGCGTGTGTCTATGCGCACGCGTGTGTGTCTATGCGCACGCGTGTGTGTCTATGCGCACGCGTGTGTGTCTATGCGCACGCCTGTGTGTCTATGCGCACGCCTGTGTGTCTATGCGCACGCCTGTGTGTCTATGCGCACGCCTGTGTGTCTATGCGCACGCGTGTGTGTCTATGCGCACGCGTGTGTGTCTATGCGCGCGCGTGTGTGTCTATGCGCACGCCTGTGTGTCTATGCGCACGCCTGTGTGTCTATGCGCACGCGTGTGTGTCTATGCGCACGCGTGTGTGTCTATGCGCACGCGTGTGTGTCTATGCGCACGCGTGTGTGTCTATGCGCACGCCTGTGTGTCTATGCGCACGCCTGTGTGTCTATGCGCACGCCTGTGTGTCTATGCGCACGCGTGTGTGTCTATGCGCACGCGTGTGTGTCTATGCGCGCGCGTGTGTGTCTATGCGCACGCCTGTGTGTCTATGCGCACGCGTGTGTGTCTATGCGCGCGCGTGTGTGTCTATGCGCACGCCTGTGTGTCTATGCGCACGCCTGTGTGTCTATGCGCACGCCTGTGTGTCTATGCGCACGCCTGTGTGTCTATGCGCACGCGTGTGTGTCTATGCGCGCACGCGTGTGTGTCTATGCGCACGCGCGTGTGTCTATGCGCACGCGCGTGTGTCTATGCGCACGCGTGTGTGTCTATGCGCACGCGTGTGTGTCTATGCGCGCGCGTGTGTGTCTATGCGCACGCCTGTGTGTCTATGCGCACGCCTGTGTGTCTATGCGCACGCCTGTGTGTCTATGCGCACGCCTGTGTGTCTATGCGCACGCGTGTGTGTCTATGCGCGCACGCGTGTGTGTCTATGCGCACGCGCGTGTGTCTATGCGCACGCGCGTGTGTCTATGCGCACGCGTGTGTGTCTATGCGCACGCGTGTGTGTCTATGCGCACGCGTGTGTGTCTATGCGCACGCCTGTGTGTCTATGCGCACGCCTGTGTGTCTATGCGCACGCCTGTGTGTCTATGCGCACGCCTGTGTGTCTATGCGCACGCGTGTGTGTCTATGCGCACGCGTGTGTGTCTATGCGCGCGCGTGTGTGTCTATGCGCACGCCTGTGTGTCTATGCGCACGCCTGTGTGTCTATGCGCACGCGTGTGTGTCTATGCGCACGCGTGTGTGTCTATGCGCACGCGTGTGTGTCTATGCGCGCGCGTGTGTGTCTATGCGCACGCGTGTGTGTCTATGCGCACGCCTGTGTGTCTATGCGCACGCCTGTGTGTCTATGCGCACGCCTGTGTGTCTATGCGCACGCCTGTGTGTCTATGCGCGCGCGTGTGTGTCTATGCGCACGCGTGTGTGTCTATGCGCACGCCTGTGTGTCTATGCGCACGCCTGTGTGTCTATGCGCACGCCTGTGTGTCTATGCGCACGCGTGTGTGTCTATGCGCACGCGTGTGTGTCTATGCGCACGCGTGTGTGTCTATGCGCACGCGTGTGTGTCTATGCGCACGCGTGTGTATCTATGCGCGCGCGTGTGTGTCTATGCGCACGCGTGTGTGTCTATGCGCACGCCTGTGTGTCTATGCGCACGCGTGTGTGTCTATGCGCACGCCTGTGTGTCTATGCGCACGCCTGTGTGTCTATGCGCACGCGTGTGTGTCTATGCGCGCGCGTGTGTGTCTATGCGCACGCCTGTGTGTCTATGCGCACGCCTGTGTGTCTATGCGCACGCGTGTGTGTCTATGCGCGCACGCGTGTGTGTCTATGCGCACGCGCGTGTGTCTATGCGCACGCGCGTGTGTCTATGCGCACGCGTGTGTGTCTAGGCGCACGCGTGTGTGTCTATGCGCACGCGTGTGTGTCTATGCGCACGCCTGTGTGTCTATGCGCACGCCTGTGTGTCTATGCGCACGCCTGTGTGTCTATGCGCACGCGTGTGTGTCTATGCGCACGCGTGTGTGTCTATGCGCGCGCGTGTGTGTCTATGCGCACGCCTGTGTGTCTATGCGCACGCCTGTGTGTCTATGCGCACGCGTGTGTGTCTATGCGCACGCGTGTGTGTCTATGCGCACGCGTGTGTGTCTATGCGCGCGCGTGTGTGTCTATGCGCACGCGTGTGTGTCTATGCGCACGCCTGTGTGTCTATGCGCACGCCTGTGTGTCTATGCGCACGCCTGTGTGTCTATGCGCACGCCTGTGTGTCTATGCGTGCGCGTGTGTGTCTATGCGCACGCGCGTGTGTCTATGCGCACGCGCGTGTGTCTATGCGCACGCGTGTGTGTCTATGCGCACGCGTGTGTGTCTATGCGCACGCGTGTGTGTCTATGCGCACGCCTGTGTGTCTATGCGCACGCCTGTGTGTCTATGCGCACGCCTGTGTGTCTATGCGCACGCCTGTGTGTCTATGCGCACGCCTGTGTGTCTATGCGCACGCGTGTGTGTCTATGCGCACGCGTGTGTGTCTATGCGCACGCCGTGTGTGTCTATGCGCACGCCTGTGTGTCTATGCGCACGCGTGTGTGTCTATGCGCACGCGTGTGTGTCTATGCGCACGCGTGTGTGTCTATGCGCGCGCGTGTGTGTCTATGCGCACGCGTGTGTGTCTATGCGCACGCGTGTGTGTCTATGCGCACGCCTGTGTGTCTATGCGCACGCCTGTGTGTCTATGCGCACGCCTGTGTGTCTATGCGCGCGCGTGTGTGTCTATGCGCACGCCTGTGTGTCTATGCGCACGCCTGTGTGTCTATGCGCGCGCGTGTGTGTCTATGCGCACGCGTGTGTGTCTATGCGCGCACGCGTGTGTGTCTATGCGCACGCGTGTGTGTCTATGCGCACGCGTGTGTGTCTATGCGCGCGCGTGTGTGTCTATGCGCACGCGTGTGTGTCTATGCGCACGCCTGTGTGTCTATGCGCACGCCTGTGTGTCTATGCGCACGCCTGTGTGTCTATGCGCACGCCTGTGTGTCTATGCGCACGCGTGTGTGTCTATGCGCACGCGTGTGTGTCTATGCGCGCGCGTGTGTGTCTATGGGCACGCCTGTGTGTCTATGCGCACGCCTGTGTGTCTATGCGCACGCGTGTGTGTCTATGCGCACGCGTGTGTGTCTATGCGCACGCGTGTGTGTCTATTCGCGCGCGTGTGTGTCTATGCGCACGCATGTGTGTCTATGCGCACGCCTGTGTGTCTATGCGCACGCCTGTGTGTCTATGCGCACGCCTGTGTGTCTATGCGCACGCCTGTGTGTCTATGCGCACGCGTGTGTGTCTATGCGCACGCGTGTGTGTCTATGCGCGCGCGTGTGTGTCTATGCGCACGCCTGTGTGTCTATGCGCACGCCTGTGTGTCTATGCGCACGCCTGTGTGTCTATGCGCACGCCTGTGTGTCTATGCGCACGCGTGTGTGTCTATGCGCGCACGCGTGTGTGTCTATGCGCACGCGTGTGTGTCTATGCGCGCGCGTGTGTGTCTATGCGCACGCCTGTGTGTCTATGCGCACGCCTGTGTGTCTATGCGCACGCCTGTGTGTCTATGCGCACGCGTGTGTGTCTATGCGCGCGCGTGTGTGTCTATGCGCACGCCCGCACAACGCTTATGCGCATGTGAGTGCACATGCATTGATTGAACGCACTCAGGCGGGTCGAACTTACCAGTGGTGGCAGTGACAGGTGTGAGAACGCCCGACACTTGCCCCACATGCTCCTCCCTTGCTAGCTACATGTGCGTTGCTTGTATGCTTGCTTCGGTGGGTGTATGCTTGTGTTGTGTACATTTCTGTGTGCAACTATCTACCCTCTCCATGCACACACAGGTGGGTCGAACTTGCCAGTGTTGGCAGTGATGTGCGAGAAGAGAAGGTCTCTCCTACATGCCTTTTGGTTGTTGCATGTGCATCGTATGTGTGCTTGCGTGCATGAACATGTCTGTCTGCGTATACCCCCATGCACTCACAGGCGGGTCGAACTTGGCAGTGTTGACGGTAATGTGCGAGAAGGTGTCCCGCACATGTCCCTTGTGCTGCACGAGATCGATCCAGCGCATGAGGCAAGGCAGCTCGTCCCTGTCACACGGCGTCACCAGCAGCTGCGAGGAGAACACACGTGTGAGAGAGGGGAAGGGGAGGGGTGCACAGGCAGGTGAGGGAGGAGGGGAAGGCAGAGAGGCAGAGATTGGTCCCATGTGTGGTGTACATCGCACCGGCTCTTCTCTGCACCAGGCCTCCCCTCGTGGCAGCACTGAGGTGAGGGCTTGACTTGCCATGTGGCATGAAGTGATTGAATGCAGTCACAATGCCTGGAACTTTGATCATCATTTGCATGGCCACTTCTGGGCGGTGTGCTACCACATAGATTGACTTGGGTCTGCATTGTACAAGCATGCGCATGTGTGCACCCACGCCCATGCCCATGCCCACGCACATGCCATCTACTGTGCCGAAGTCATCATTTAACCGCCACGTCATCATGAACTCACCCATCATTATGGGTCCTCCACGCCACGTCGCCATTAATCCACCACGTCATCATGAACCCTTATTCTGTTATGTTAGAGTACCTGATCAGCTGCGGCCTGCACGACGTCCACTGCGAGTCTGTCACGTGATGCTCTACGATCCAAAAGTTCACCTTAATCTGTTATGCTAGAATACGCATTGTGCAAGCCCACGCCCATGCCCATGCCTACGCACATGCACATGCACATTCACATACCACCTACTGTTCCCACGTCATCATGACCCCCCACCACGTCATCATGAACCCACCACGTCATCATGAACCCACCACGTCATCATGAACGGCACCGAAGACTGCAATGTCAGCCAATGTGATCGCGACACCTGGCCCCACGAGCACGGAGCGAGGAGTCAGGTAGGCGTTGAGGGCGCGCAGGCGAGGGAGAGGGTCCAACACTGCAGCTGACGTGGACGCTGACGGGCATGCTGACGTGGCAAGGGAGGCCAGGGAGCCGACGACCCAGGGATGGCGAAGCCACTGAGTCACCTGTTGGGTGGATGAGGTGTAAACGGAAACAGGTAAAAGATGGACAGATAGAGAGAGGGGCGAATGAAGGTGGTGGAGAGGAAGCATGGCAACTAGGCTTCTGAACTCCAATTCCCCCTTTCCTTCCCAATCTTTCTCAAGCTTTCCATACCGTTTCGTGGCCTTCAAATCACTCTTCTGATGCCCATCCCTGCAGAGTGCGCCATCCGTGCAGAGTGTGCGGCATCCCTACCCCCAGCACACCCATCGCCACTAGAGCATTCCCCGTCTGGCCCCCTTCCACTCCACCCCTTTCCTCACCTCAGCGCGCGCGGCGCCATCCCTCCCCAGCAGCGCATTGGCGGCGTCGCCTCCTGTCGCCAGCGCAAGAGCCGCCCACACTGCTGTAGCGCCCGCTACAGGCTGGCTGCTGGCCGCGCTGATGAGGGAGGGAGCGGCCTGCAGAGGGAAGGGGTGGCGGGAGGGGGGTTTTGACGCGCTTTAAAAGCTGCAGCGCCCGCTACAGTCTGCTTGCTGGCCGCGCTGATGTGGGAGAGAGCGGCCTGCAGACAGAAGGGGTGGCAAGAGGGGACTTCGAAATCGCTTCAAAATCTGTAGCGCCCGTTACTGTCTGCTTGCTGGCCGCACTGATGAGGGAGCGGGCGGCCTAAGGAAGAAACCGGGTGGCGGGGGCAGGGAAAAGGGAAATTTGGAAACGGAGAACGAGGGAATAGGGAGCAAGCAAACGGGGAACGGGTAAAAGGGAGTGAAGGGAACTAAGGGAAGGGAGCAGATGGCCTGTAACAACGGGTACAGTCCTCTGCTCATGGGGCAGAGGGCTGGCTGCAGCGCGAGCGACGGGACCAAAGAAAAAAACGTGCGGCATTGAACATAACTTTTTGTTTTCGTTCCTAACAGGCTGACGTGTAGGCCACCAGAGCGTTCTGATCGTTACGTGTAGGCCACCAGAGCGTTCTGATCGTATCTTATAGAACCCGGCACTGGGAACCTCACGCAGCTTCTATACTCGCCGACGAACAACGAAAGCCTTCGCATTTCACAAACAAGGCTTGAATCCCCACCTTGTGACCCCTCGGCTAGCAAGGGTTATAAAAACCCCCTACCCCTCTCGCATGCACCTTAATCTCCGATGGCGAAGTGAGAAAGTGAAAAAATCCAGACGAACCAACGGATCGGCCCAAGATGCAGAGGCAGCTAGATGGCTTGACGATCAGCCGCATCGACACGGCCCAATGCGCTACGGCCAGTACTGGGCGTCTGATCAGTCGGCAGACACTTACGACGTTCGCGTCGCAACCGACTATATGTAACTGCCTTCGTAAGCGGTCCGGTGGCACTGGAGGTTCTAAGATCCAGTATTGCATCTTAATCTGTTAAGCTAGAGTACCTGATCGGCAGCGGCTTGCACGACGTCCACTGCGAGTCCGCCACGTGCCTTGCACCAATTGGCCACGGCTATCGCTGTTCTCGACGCTACGTCACTCCCAGCCGTGAGAGTCACTGCCGCGGCGCCTTGCGACTGCTCGGACGGAATCCCCATTGCAAGCGGTTTTGGCGGGACTAAAAGCCTTGCTATCAGCCTGAGCAGGGCAGAATTCAGAAAATGGAATCGAGTGTCTTCACAGTAATAATAGTGGGTGGGGTGGGAACTGAAGTTGTCGTCGTCACAGTAAAACTCGGTTTCACGAATACAGATGTTTATACGTTGTTTGTTGTAGAGATTTGTAGTGAGGTGTACCCGGGGAAATATGTTTGTCTCAATGTGGCTCCGTGAGGTGTATTACGCTGTACAACGGTCTATGTAATATTTAGGGCGGGTCTAACTTTGCACATGTACCTAAATTTTTCAGCTCAGTTACCAGAATGAAGCGTGTAACAGAACTTTTTACGTACGAAATCAGTTTGACGCGAGACTGTACATAAATGAGCTCATTTCAGAAACGCGCCCCGGGACGTGCGGGAACAATCCGAAGGTTCGTCTTCCAAATCGCTTTCTGTCCAATTCGTCAAACAGTAACGCCCGTTCATCGCCAAAACCGTTTACGCCATAATTTTACTCCTTTCGTCCTAGATGCGGAACCCCTCGCAACATTTGGTAACTCCCTTCCCAGATGCTGTGCCTCGCAACGTTAATGCACCTCGTCAAAAGTCCGCACTGAACACTCCGAACTGGACAGGAAACGTTAGGACTACTCCCTGGGTCAGTCAAAATTGACAAGTGTATTGACGTAAAAATAACGAAAAAAACGGGAGAGTGCAAAGTTGGACCCGCCCTTACAAAGGTTGGGTATGGCAATGAGCGAACATCTTTTGGAAGTTCATGCCACGCCAAGTCTATGTGCATTGGGCTTCTGCTGTTGGGCAGAGGTTGCGACGGGTATGACACGCGTGATTTCCGCAACCTGACTGGATGAAGTGGATTACGTCATTTTCCATTGTCGCCACTAGGCAAACCCCACTGCTGGCCAGTTTGACCGAGGCGCCTCTGGGAATGAATTCCCAAGGCGAGGTGGAATAGTGACGACGAAACGACCCTGAGCGTCATTCCCCAACGGGTCGAATCGAATCGCGAGTCGCGACATTCCCAGGACATGCGACGTGTCCTCGTCCGTCAAGTGGATGCAGCTGCAGCTGCGTTCTGTACGTCCGATCAATCAGTGCACCTTATCGAACGGCTTAGCGGGACCAAACGAATCAAGCCTTCGTATGGGCTCACCAGGGTTGGACGGGCATGGGTGGAATTCCTACTACCGCACGGCGAATCGAATCTTGGGAATTGCTGCCCGGTTGCAGGAAGCGTTTCTGTTCCTTGGTGCGGAGCGGTGCGTCTTACGAGACCTGTCACTCTTATCTCGTACCGACAGTATTAGTCACATATCATCGCATGCGAATTCGTTACGCGGATGGTCGTCGCCAGTGGCGGTGTTACCAGGGGCGATGGACAGCGTTCGCGATCTAAGCACTCCGTTTTTCGAGGGAAGATTCTCGCTGGCCGACCCTGCACAACCCCTGCAAGCATGCTCTCCAAAACTCAAAACGTCAGGCGAACTTTCCCAGACGACATTCGCCGAGCGTTGTCCCCCTGCAAGGAAAGAGACTGAAAAACACACCCGCAAACTTCGGAGCTGGAAGAAGGAAAGCGGGATTAATGATCCATGGCAGATTCCTGGATCGCAGAAACCACTTTCCACATCAGCCTGCATCTCATGGCTTCGTTGGACAACGGGAATCTGGAATTCCAGGACCCCTTCTTCTCCCTCCCCGCCTTCGGGTGCTTCTTCTCTGACAGTGCAGCGGCAGCCGCTGGGTACCACTACTCCAACCCTCAAGCACTCGCAGGCGAGAAGCACGCGCGGGAAACGCTTGAGAGCGAAACATTAGAGACCGGAACGCTTGAGCAGCAGACGCATGAGGAGAGGCAGAGGCATGAGAATCTCGAGAGGGAGATGCACGCGAGGGAGAGGCATGAGAGGGAGACGCATGAAAGGGAGACGCGTGAGAGGGAGAGTCGGTCGTCAATGTCGAACAAGAAGAGCCGCCTGAGACAGCAGTCAGCCATTCTGCAGCGACGAGGTGAGGCCGCTCCGCTCACCCTCCTCCGCACTTCCTCCTCTTGGAGGCACCCTTGGGTTGGGTGTGTCTGACACCAGCCCTTCTGTTCTTTCTGTCATGCTGTAATTACCAAGAGAGCAATGAGGTGTGTTGAGACCAGCGATTCTGCTCTTTCATGTTGCATTTGCCGTAATCTGTTGGCTGTGTGGACATCAGCTCCTGCTTTGTCATAGTGCGACCACCATGACCTGTTGGCTGTGCTGAAACCACGTTTTCATGTCAGCCATTGTTCGCTACTATCAGTACACCTCATGGTCGCTCCACCATTCCATTCCACGACCAGGACGCAATGCGGACGCCGCTCGAGACCTCCCTCCTCCTGCCACTGCTGCAACTGCCAACACGGCTGCCACTGCCGGCACTCAGGGCGGGTCTGGCAGTCTAAGTGGTGCTGTCCCTCCAGCGACTGAGGGGAAGGCTGCAACAAGGCAGCGGGGAGGCACCGTGAGCAGCCAGAGGAGCTCCATCTACCGCGGAGTCACAAGGTGGGGGCTCTCGTCTGGTATACCCCTCCATCCAGCACTTTCCTCCCATGTAAAGCACGTGTGAAGGTTATAGCCGATTCTGCAAAAGACGGTTTGTCGTTCACTGGGACTCATTGCCTCGTTTCCCGATGAAAATCCAGTGTTGAGGCGCCTGGAAACCGAGACACTTAGTGTCAGTGGCTTTCACTGTTGCAACACGTGTCTGTCTGTTTCTTGGCAGACATCCCTCGACATGGCACTATGAGGCTCACCTGCGGGATAATTTGTGTTGCAGGGGGGCAAGGTGTATTCTGAGTCAACTCAAAACATGGCTATCTCTGTCGGAATGCATGGCTATGTGTGTGCTGGCAGGCACCGCTGGACTGGACGCTATGAGGCTCACCTGTGGGATAACTCGTGCCCCAAGGAGGGCACCAACAAGCGAGGCCGCCAAGGTGCATCCGCTCTTGTAGTTTGTTCGTTCTTGTGATCTAGTCAGTGCCATAACCTTTATCCGAGCCTCACACAGATTACTAATGGACGTTGTGCTGACTGCCTGTGTCTGCCCTGCAGTCTACTTGGGTATGTACTCTGCCTCTCTGAATGACACACTCCAGTGATACATCAACTTCCATTCCATCTAGAAGATCTCTTTCAGCAAAATGAATGTGACGAGGCTCGCCGTGTTGCAAGTGCAGGAGGGTATGACGATGATGAAACGGCTGCGCGGGCGTACGACCTTGCTGCTCTCAAGTACTGGGGCCCCACCGCTGCTACCAACTTCCCTGTACGTCACACGACTGGTGTGACTGCTTAGCTCAAGCTCATGTAAATCCCCCCTCACTGTACACGACATGCCGCACTCAAGTATTGGGGTCCCCCAGCTGCTGCCAGCTTCTCTGTACGTCACACACATGACAGGTTTGCAACAGAAGTCCCATGCTGTTCCTTTACCGCAACCAGCATTGCTGCACGGGGTTGTGATGCCAGACATATTGAGCTTCCCTTTGTTTCGCATGTCTGGGTACTCGACCCGTTTACGCCCATTTCGTTCTCCTAGTACCCAGATATTCATATTTCTCACTCTCTCTCCCCACCCGTCCTTGTCTCCCTGTCTTTCCTCTCATGTGCATTCTCTCCTCCTAACCCTATCACATCCGTGTTCGACCTACTGGTTCTCCCAGGTTGAGAACTACGAGAGGGAGTTGAGAGAGATGGAGGGGGTTTCCAAGTACGAGTATGTCGCTTCCATCCGCAGGTATGTAATGTCACATGCTCCATGTCCTCCGTGTTCCTTGCTGCATGCCCTATGCTCCATGCACTTTCACGCACGTCCCTTGTGCTCCAATGGCGAAGGACTTAAAAAAGAGCAGCACAGCAAAGCGATCACCTGACACGTCCATGGGAAGGGGCTTGTAGCGGTGGTCATGGGGGGGGGGTTTGGAAGATATCCGGCCAAAGGCAGACATCTTATTGCCCTAGCTGGTGGGCACTTCTTTGGGAGGTCAGGGTTCGATTCCCAGACTGGGTGCAAGTTTGGCGCCAGAGGCCTACGGTACTCCTGAAAGCAGGAGTGTGTGTGCAGTGCCAGGGGCGGTGGGTTCCCGCGGAAAGGCCCACAGTGAAAGGCCACTAGAGTAGCATGCTGAGGCTGGCAAGGGGGAGTGCGAGTTGATCCGAGTCGTGCCATGTCTTGCGGTTGCGGCTGTGATGTGATGTGAGTAGTGCATTGTGTCCACCACACCAGGGAGAAGCCACGATGGCAGACACCGCTCATTTCATGTTACCACTATCTGTGCTGTGCTGTGCTGCCTCTCTGTGCGTGCCTGGGAGTGCAGGAAGAGCTGTGGATTCTCCAGAGGGGCTTCCAAGTACCGCGGAGTCACCAGGTGCGTGCAAAGCAATCTCTCAGTCGAGTCGACCAAATAGACACCAGGCGCGTGCAAAGCAATCTCTCAGTCGACCAAATAGACACCAGGTGCGTGCAAAGCAATCTCTCAGTCGACCAAATAGACACCAGGTGCGTGCAAAGCAATCTCTCAGTCGAGTCGACCAAATAGACACCAGGCGCGTGCAAGCAGCCAGGAGTCACCAGGTGTGTTACAGGCTGTGGAAATCAAGTAGGGGTCAGAGCCACTGGGTACAGCAAGTACGGTTCAGTGGAGAAGGCAGGGGCCTGGACGAGGTATACACAGATTGTGGAAGCTGGTGGGGATTGCTTTGTTTTGCCCGCTTTGCTGGTGCTGTTCTTCAATAACACCCGCCCGCCCTCCCCTTGCCTGTGGTGCAGGCACCATCAGCACGGGCGGTGGGAGGCGCGCATAGGGCGAGTCATGGGCAACAAGTACCTCTACCTGGGGACGTTTGGTGAGTGCTGTGTGGGGGGGGGGGGTGAGTGGGGGGAGTGATGTGGGTGAGTGGGAGTGGTGTGCGAAGGTGAGGAGACTCTAAAGGGCAACAAGTACATCCAGCTGCTGACTTTCGGTGAGAGGGGAGTGGAGAGTGTGGTGAGCAGTGTGTGAAGAATGGTGGGTGCGGAGTGCTGTATGGTTAGTGGGGTGTGTGGTGTGATGTCTGGTTCTGGGATCCCTGTGGCATGCCTTGATGTTTCCGTATGTTGCCTGCAGCCACACAGGAGGAGGCAGCAGAAACATACGATACAGCCGCAGTCAAGTACCGAGGGCTCAATGCGGTTACCAGCATTAGCCTGCCACCCTCATCATAAGTCTTCATTTCATCGCTCGATGTGTACGTGCAGCCACGCAGGAGGAGGCAGCAGAGGCATACGACATAGCAGCAGTGAAGTACCGAGGGCTCAATGCAGTTACCAACTTTGACCTCAGCCGCTACATCGATGGGCTCAGCTCTCAAGCGGATGACCCTCAACTAGCGGAGGTAATATCACAAAATGGCCATTTACACCTTTCTTTTTTGTAAGCGCATGTCAAGCTTATACTGAAAACGGGGAGTTTTTGTTGAGTGATTTATATTCTACAGGAACCCGTGAAGGCGGATTCTGCAGTGCAGCAGGCGATCTCGGACCCGGTTCCCCAGTTCCTGCCATTCCAGAGTGACCATGCAGCTGTGTGCTTCACTCAAGCAGCATCAGTTGACCTCAGCGCTCCCCTACCCCTGCCCATGCATTCAGCGCACATGCTGTCAGCAGGCACACCGAACATGGTAGGTTCGTTCACATCATTGAATACATTACTTAATTAGTCATGCATTTGTTTCTGTCCTCTGGTGAAGAGACAGTGTGCATGTGCCATGACTGGTGAGGTATATGACTGATGAGTGCTGTGCATGCATTGGGGATGGGCATGACAGGTGCCATTGTACAGCCAGCAGAGCATAGAGGTGGACCAGCAGCATCACGATGGACAGCCGCTCCCAAGCTTTGCTGCTTGGTACGACGACCTCAGCTCCGACATTGGTTAGACCATGCAGCTGCTTTTATCACTTCCATGAATCCTTGAAAGTGCACAAGCATAGCCAAGCTTCGCTGCTTGGTACAATGTCCTGGCCTCCGATATTGGCTAGATGATGCTGCTGCGGTTGCTTTTATCTGGTGTGCACCAACCGGCACACTTTGTTTTGAGTTTCAGTACGAAGTGAAAGCCTGTACAAGCAACCATGTCGCGTGTAAGTAATGTTGGAGAATTGGCTACTGTGGAAAATGCATGTATGTATGGTACTCAAATTGGTAATCAGATGGGCAAGTAAGCAGGTCTGGGCAATGTTTATCTTGCAACTAGCATGTATGTGCTCAAAATGAATCAGAATTAGCAGAATATGGCTGAACCTGATAGTAAGACAGCTCCAGCCGACCTGTTAACTCTGATTAGAAGCGCTAGCCTCTTTCCCACTAGTAACGAACGGCCGAGGCCGTCAATATGAGAGCGATGACAGAACCAACCCTGCATGTGCCTCGCTCGCAGCGCGGCAACTCCAGGCTCGTTGCTCAGCAGCAACAACACGGTACCAGTAGGTTCCTCGATCCACGAAGCACCTGTTTTACTTTCTACAGCAGAATTTGCTCCCTCAACCACTACAATCCCAGGAGCAACGGTTTAGATTACCGTAGCCACCGCGTTCTTGCCAAGATAGCCCTTCTCGTATTTTCCTTATCGTCCTGACATTAAGCTTCTAAATATTCTCGTACTACCATTCCGCCTCCGTCGCTTGCTGCGCTTCCCCGCGGGCCGCCGTTTAAGCCGCAATCATGGCGCCGCGGCCGCCCCCCAGTGGCAGTGCGGGTCTGCGCAGTCCGCGCGCGGATGACGGGATAGAACCAGCGCATGCGCGAGACGACCTGATAAAATTCGCGGATCCTCCGCATCCGGAGGCGATCAATTTCTCTGCGGCAGCGGCGGCGACAGCGGCGGAGGAGTTTTATGAAGAAGTGGAGGAAGGGGAGGAGGATGACGGGAGTGAGTTTCTGGAGCGCGCGCGGAGCCACCAGGAGGCGGAGGACGAGCGCGCGTACGAGCCGGAGGAGCAGATCGACGTGTCGCGTTACAGCCTGCCGCTACAGACGCCGGGCGGCAAGGAGGGTGAGGGGCTGGGCGGCTGACACTGGTTGGTGCGCCATAGCCCTCCCTCTCCCCTCCCCCCCATTGCTTTCCCATCCCCCTGCCCGGCCCTCCCCCTGCTCCGCTCTCCCGTCCCCCTGCTCCCCTTTCCTATGCGCCTGGACCCACTACACCCCCATACAGACACGTGTCGCTTCTTGTACCCTTTTCCGTGCACCCACCTGCTACACCCCATCCCCCATACAGACACGTTCCGGTTCTCGTGGCGGCGCTTCTGCATCTTCGTGGGGCCGGGCTTCCTCATGAGCATCGCTTACCTGGACCCCGGCAACCTCGAGAGTGATTTGCAGGTGAGCGTGCTTGCCTTGTTTACATGGGGCTGGGTGCATGACTGCAGTGAGGAGGGTGAGGGGGGCTATGGAGTCGCTTCCCCATCAGCATCGCGTACCTGGACTGGATCCGGGCAACCTTGAGAGCGACCTGCAGGTGAGCCTCTCACTGCAGTGACGTCGTGAGGGGGTTGAGGGGGGGAGATGGAATGGAATGGCTTCCTTATGAGCACTTTTGAGACGTCTCAAAAGGCTATGCTTCCTCATGTCATGAGCATCGCGTACCTGGACTGGGTCCGGGCAACCTTGAGAGTGATTTACAGGTGAGCTCTGAGCGCGGCACGGATGGGCGAGGGGGGCTGATGGAGTTGCGTTGTCATGAGCAAGCATCGTGTGAGTGCCTGGTCCTTGGTTGGCAATTTCGACCAATTAGCACCTTCGCTGCGCGCGTACGGTCTTTAAGCATGTTCAATCATCTTGCACCCGTTTTTCTCCGTCTTGCAACGTGCACGTGTGTTCCGCATGGCAGGCAGGCGCACAGACGGGGTATGCACTGCTCTGGATCCTCTTCTGGTCCACTGCACTCGGTCTGCTGCTGCAGGTGAGCGTGGGGTGGGTGCGCTTGCTGCTGCAGGTGTGTGTGGTTTTCCACGCCATGAGATAATTGAAGAATGCAAACCCAGATAGCCGCTTGGCTATGAAAGGATCGCATGGAATACTCACCACCACCGCCACCACCACCACCACCACCACCGCCACCACCACCACCACCATCACCACCACCGCCACCACCACCACCACCACCACCACCACCACCACCACCACCACCACCACCATCACCACCACCGCCACCACCACCACCACCACCACCACCACCACCACCACCACCACCACCACCACCACCACCACCACCACCACCACCACCACCACCACCACCACCACCACCACCACCACCACCACCACCACCACCACCACCACCACCACCACCACCTGTGCGCTGGGTGCTGTGTGGGGCATGACAGAGGGGGTGAGGGCGGAAACTCACAGTGCCACTCAAGTTCAACCCCAAAACTGACCTCTCCACCCACCTCGGTCCAACCCCTCTCGTGCGATGAGTCGATTTTTGAGTCGACTCAAAAATCAATTCACAGTGCCACTCAAGTTCAACCCCACAACTGACCTCTCCACCTCGGTCCAACCCCTCTCTCCACGTGCCTCGCCACATCCCCCTTCAACCAGCGCACCAAGCAACCACCCAGGCCACAGCAGCGCGAGTGGGCGTGGTAACAGAGTGCCACCTGGCGGAGCTGTGCCGAATGGAATACTCACCCCTCGTGTGCTGGGTGCTGTGGGGGATGAGAGTTGTGGCTATAGTGGGGGCAGACATTGATTTGATCTAGGCTGCCACTCCAACCCCCACACTCACCCTCTTTCTAACCCCTCTCTCCACATCCCCCTTCCACATCCCCCTTCCACATCCCCCTTCCACCAGCCCACCCCACCCAGGCCACAGCAGCGCGCGTGGGAGTGGTAACAGAGTGCCACCCGGCAGAGCTGTGTCTCATGGAATACTCACCCCTCGTGTGCTGGGTGCTGTGGGGGATGAGAGAAGTGGCCATAGTGGGGGCGGGCCACCACTCCAACCCCCAATCTCTCACCCTCGTTCTAACCCCTCTCTCCCCGTGCCTCTCCACATCCCCCTTCCACCAAATCACCCCGTGCAGGCCATAGCAGCGCGCGTGGGAGTGGTGACAGGGTGCCACCTAGCCGAGCTGTGCCGAATGGAGTACTCACCTCCCGTGCGCTGGGTGCTGTGGGGGATGACGGAGGTCGCTATAGTGGGGGCGGACATTCAGGAGGTGATAGGCTGCGCCATCGCGCTGCGCATCCTCAGCAGGGGGGCTATTCCCATCTGGGCGGGGGTGCTGATTACAGGGCTGGACAGGTGCGTTTGCGGTTTGGTTTGGGTGAAGCACACGCCTGCTGTGCTGTGGGGGATGACGGAGATCACCATAGTGGGCGCGGACATTCAGGAGGTCATTGGCTGCGCCATCGCCCTGCGAATTCTCTCAAGAGGGGCCATTCCCATCTGGCCAGGGGTGCTTATAACGGGGCTCGACAGGTTTGGTTCTGGTGAAGCAGGTGCTTGTTGTGGGGGATGACGGAGGCGGCCGTATTGGGTGCGGACATTCAGGAGGTGATAGGCTGCGCCATCGCCCTCTGCGTCCTCAGTAGAGGCGCCGTCCCCATCTGGCCAGGGGTGCTTATAACGGGGCTCGACAGGTGAGGCATGCATGCGGGCCAGGGGGCCGGTTACAGGGCTGAACAGGTGAGGCATGCATGCGAGCAGGCTGGGCTGGGGTGCCATCCCCATCCGGGCTGGTGAGCATGAGTGTGGGCGCGTGGTGTGCTGCTACAGAGCTGGACAGGTGCGGTCGGTCCTCGCAGGGAGTAGAGTAGTGGGTTGGGTTGGAGAGGCTTGGATCTGGTCACACCGTGACTGTCGCTGTTCCCCGTCCCTCCTTCCTCCTCACCCGGCCCCTCCCCGCCTCCCCTTGCTTCCTCCTCCCCGCCTCCCCTTGCTTCCTCCTCCCCGCCTCCCCGTGCTTCCTCCTCCCCGCCTCCCCTTGCTTCCTCCTCCCCGCCTCCCCGTGCTTCCTCCTCCCCGCCTCCCCTTGCTTCCTCCTCCCCGCCTCCCCTTGCTTCCTCCTCCCCGCCTCCCCGTGCTTCCTCCTCCCCTTCTTTGGGAAGTTTGTTCACAACTCAGCGCGCCGTGTGGCCTCTTCATCGCAGTCTTGCCATTCCGCTACAAAGCAATCTCTTGCGCTGCCGTGCCTTGCCTTGCCTTGCTGCCTCCCACCCCTCCCCACATCTCCCCAGCTTTCTGCTACTCTTCCTGGAGAGCTGTGGCATTCGCAAGCTACAGGCGCTCTTTGGTCTCTTCATGCGCTGTCACGCCAGCCAGGAGCCTCAAACCACTCTCCTTCCCTTGCTTTGGCTCGCCTTGCCTTTGTTTAAACCCCCCTCCCTCTCTCTCCCCGTCCCCGGCCTTACGCCAGTTTCCTCCTCCTTTTCCTGGAGAGCTTTGGCATCCGCACGCTGGAGGCGCGCGCTCGTTGGTGTCTTCTTCATTGCTGTCATGCCAGGCGTCTCAGCCACTCTCCTTGCTCTCTCCTGCCTTGCCTTGCCCTGCATTGCCTTGCTACCCCCCCAGCTTCCTCCTCCTCTTCCTCGAGAACAGTGGCATTTGCAAGCTGGAAGCGCTCATTGGGCTCTTCATGGCTGTCAGTCATGCGAAGGCGCCTCGCCTCACACTCGCCTTGCTCTGCTCTGCCTTGCCTTGATGCCCTCCCTCGCCATCTCCCTCCCCAGCTTCCCTCTCCTCTTCCTCGAGAACTTTGGCATTCGCAAGCTGGAAGCGCTCTTTGGGCTCTTCATGGCTGTCATGGCAAGGCGACTCAACCGAACCACCCTCCTTGCCGGGCATCCCCTTGATGTGCATCCCCTTGATGTGCATCCCCTTGATGTGCATCCCCTTGATGTGCCTCCCTTCTTCTTCCAGCTTCCTGCTTTTATTCCTCGAGAACTTTGGCATTCGCAAGCTGGAGGCGCTCTTTGGGCTCTTCATCGCTGTCATGGCTGCTTCCTTTGCCCGCATGTTCGTGGAAGCTGCGCCTGACGCGGGGGCCATTGCTCATGGTGGGTGGACCAACAAGCACGCGCATGCTTTCATGTGGGTGTGTTAATTCATGCTGCATGCTTTCATGTGGGTGTGTTAATTCATGCCGCATGCTTTCATGTGGGTGTGTTAATTCATGCCGCATGCACATCTCATGCACACTCACATGCTGAATGCGTGTACATTAAGACTGCATACTTTGAAGGCATCTCTGTCATCACTCTCACACCACATCACATCACATCACATCACATCACATCACATCACATCACATCACACCACACCACATCACATCACACCACACCACATCACATCACATCACATCACATCGCATCGCATCACATCACACCACACCACATCACATCACATCACATCACATCACATCACATCACATCACATCACATCACATCACATCACATCACATCACATCACATCACACCACACCACATCACATCACATCACACCACACCACACCACATCACATCACATCACATCACATCACATCACATCACATCACATCACATCACATCACATCACATCACATCGCATCACACCACACCACACCACATCACATCGCATCGCATCGCATCGCATCGCATCGCATCGCATCACATCACCCCTTTTGCATACCCAACCTCCTCCTATGCAGGCATGCTCGTCCCCTCCATCCCTCAGGGAGCAACGAGCATGGCAGTGAGCAAACTAGACAGGGTCATCATGTCTCTCATGCCCCACCACCACGCCTGTACACATACCCATGCACCCGCATGCAGGCTTGCGCATCCACTCCATCCCTAGAGGAGTCCCTTTTCCCCCCTTTCCCTCACTGTTTCTTCCCATCCCCGCCCATGCCCCAGCCCCGCTGTTGTCCTAGTGCCCTCTATCCGTCACGGAGCCACCAGCATGGCAGTGAGCATACTAGGTGCAGTCATCAAGCTGCACAACATTTTCCTGCAACGTTGTCCCTATCTTCCTCTCATTCCAAACCCCAATGCATGCAGGCCTTCTGGTCCCTTCCATACCCCGCGGGGCAACGAGCATGGCAGTGAGCATACTAGGCGCAGTCATCATGCCGCACAACATCTTCCTCCACTCCGCCCTCGTGCAATCGCGCGCTATCAACCGCCACTCCCCACCGCGAGTGGCAGAGGCGCTGCTCTACTTCACGCTCGAGTCCGCCCTCGCCCTGCTGCTCTCCTTCCTCGTCAACCTCTGCGTCGTCTCCGTCTTTGCCCGCCTCTTCTACGGCCAACCGGGGGCAGTGGATATTGGGCTGGATAACGCTGCTGAGTATCTGCAGGTATGTGTGTGCGTGCGTGCGTGCGTGCGTGCGTGGGTGTGGGCGTGCGGGCGGGGACCATGTGAGGCTCTCCACGTGTACCCAGGGCGCACTCAACTTTGGCCGCGATAACGCTGCTGGGAACCTGCAGGTACGTGTGGGTGGCCTTTGAGACGCTCAAAATGGTGGAGACACTTGAGGCGTCTCAGAAGTGCCCAGGAGAGGGGCGTCCTCTGCCCAGGAGAGGGGCGTCCTCTGCCCAGGAGAGGGGCGTCCTCTGCCCTCCCCCATCACTCTTTTCCCCTCTCCATTTCCCCTCTCCATTTCCCCCCTCTCTTTTCGTCTTTCAATAGAGCACCAATTAGGCGCCATGGTTTCAGTACGTGGCAGTAACTGTTAGGTAAGACACCTTGCAAGTTGTTTTGTGTGCTTTCTTCCCTCTCTTTTCCTCTTTCCCCCCTCACACCACCCTGCCCTCCCAGCAAGCCTTCGGCTCAACGACCTTCCCAGTGGTGTTCATCTAAGCGACCTGCCCACCCCTGCCCACCCCTGCCCACCCTTGCCCGCCCTTGCACATTGCTGCCCTTGCAGCAAGCGTTCGGCTCAACCACCTTCCCAGTGGTGTTCATTTGGGCGGCCGGGCTGCTAGCAGCGGGGCAGTCATCAACCATGACAGGCACATACACGGGGCAGTTCGTCATGTCGGGCTTTCTCGACCTGCATGTGCGCAAGTGGGTGCGCGTGCTTGTCACCCGCACCGTCGCCATCGTGCCCACCATCGTCGTTGCCCTGCTCTACACCTCGCCGGCTTCTCACACACCACACTCACCACCGCAGCTGTCACCACCCATGGCAGCACTGGCTGTGCAAGTGACAGGGGGAGCGGGTACAGTAGAAGGGGCAGCAGCAGCAGCAGCAGCAGGCGGATTGCTCAACGAAGCGTTTTTCACTCCGTCTCCCTTTCCAACCTCCTCCATGCCCTTCCCTCTCACCAACACCTCCCTTCCTGCCCCCTCTTTCTCCTCCTCACCTGTCTCATCCAGCCCGTCATCACTGCAACTTTCAACCTCGCAGCACACCCCACTCTCCACCTCACTACCCTCCGCACCGCACATGCTATCACTCTCGTCGTTGGACGTGCTGAACCAGTGGCTCAACGTGCTGCAGTCCGTGCAGCTGCCCTTTGCTGTCATCCCCCTGCTAGCCATTGCATCGTCAACACACGTGATGGGAAGATATGCCATCAAGGGAGCAGTGAAGGTGAGCGTTATTTGCTGTTAGTGCAGTGCAGTGCAGCTGCTGTTGCTGCTGCTGCTGCTGCTGCTGCTGCTGCTGCTGCTGCTGCTGCTGCTAGTTTTGAGGCGCCTCAAAACTATTCGCTGCTGGTGCAGTGCAGTGCAGGTGCTACTGCTGCTGTGTTGCCACGGTGAGATCACTGGGCGTGCAGCAGTCCGTGCAGCAGTCAGTCCGTGCAGCAGTCCGTGCAGCAGTCAGTCCGTGCAGCAGTCCGTGCAGCAGTCTGTGCAGCAGTCCGTGCAGCAGTCCGTGCAGCAGTCCGTGCAGCAGTCCGTGCAGCTGCCCTTTGCAGTCATCCCCCCCCTCGCCATCGCTTCGTCAACACACGTCATGGGCCGATATGCCATCAAGGAGGCCGTCAAGGTAAGGTGTGAGTGAATGTAAGTGAGTGATTGTGAGTGAGAGCGTGTAGTGTGAGTGAGTGTGAATGAGTGTGAGTGTGAGTGAGTGTGAGTGTGAGTGAGTGTGAGTAAGTGGGAGTGAGGGTGAGTGTGAGTACGTGGTGGTCCGTGCGGCTGCACGATTACCGTCAACCTCTACGGCCCTCTTCTCTCTTCACCACATCCTTTCTTTCTTTAAACATCTGGACTTCTCTCTAGCCTGGGCTTCATCAACCCATTTGATCATCATGTACCAATCTCTCCATATGTCTCCATATGCCTCTCTTCCTACTCTTGTTCCCCACTGCAGGTGCTAGCGTGGGCATCAGCAGCGCTGGTAATCACTATCAACCTCTACCTCCTCTTTGACTTCGCCACAACCAACTTCCCTCACTCGCTCTCAACATTCCTCCTCCTCCTCCTCCTCTCCCTCCCCTACCTCCTCTTCCTCATCCACCTCGCCCTGCACCCCCGGAGCGAGGGCTCCGAGTTCAACCATCCGCACCGCTCTCGATCGCACAGAACCTGCAGCAACGAACACTGCCATCTCTTCAGTCCCACTGGGGTTGATCAGTCGGATTGTGTAACTTGTTCTGGTGCTCCTGATGCTACCGGTGCTCCTGATGCTACCGGTGCTACTGGTTCTGTTGGTTCTGGTCAAATAAATGAGAGTGTAGGTGGCTCAGTTTATAGTTGTCGCAACAGCAGCAGCAGCAGCAGCAGCAGCAGCAGAGGGACAATCCTCCCACTTCCTCCAGGTGGACGTGCGGGGGCGGGAACTGGGCTACGCACGCCTTTGCTGGAGGAGAAGCTGGACGAATAGCTCTTTTCCAGTAGGAAAGTGGAGCGGGTAACGAGTTGCAAGAGATATTTTTTAGTTTGTTAGGCATGCACAGGAGTGTACACAGCGTATACGTCCAGTGCAAGGCTTGATTTGCATTTTATTATCCCTGTACCTTTCGCACAAGTGACAGGCAGGTTCCTAGCTTCCACATGACCCAGGCCTGTGTATAACCCATGCACAATTGCAGGAGGCAAATGATACCGTAGACGGCTGCTCACCATGATTGTTGCGTGGCTAATATTTATGCAATCAGGTACCCCCCGCATTTGCCATAAATTACCATACGTGCCATGTGCGGTATGCCGTTCCATGGCAAATTCAATGCATAGTTCACACTACTGCCGTGCCCTATGTAGACTTCATAGTTGAAAATGTGAGCTGCAAATGTGATGTGCCTATGGTACTGTAAACCCCCATAACACCCACCCAGGCAAAGACTATATGGTAGCTTATGTTTCCCGGAGGGGCATCTTGCAAGTGGTACTATGTGTCAAATGTTGTAGCCTGTAGTGAGGTTTGTCTTAGGGGGTACAGAAGTTAGGGTTTGTCATATGTACCCCAACCAACATCAATGCAACACTCATTCCTCATTCTGACATGGTATCAGCTAGGTTAGGATCCTGTGGGATCCCGTTCCTCCGTTCTCCGTTCGTACCTCCCGAGCCTGATCCTACCTCTCGTTCGTACCAGTTTCGTAGTTACCGCGCCTAGTACCGAGCCTAGCGTCATCTCCCCCGTCGCGTCACGCCTGTTCCCCCCCCCCCCGTCGCGTCACGCCCGTTCCCCCTGTCGCGTCGCGCCCGTTCCCCCCCGTCGCGTCGCGCCCGTTCCCCCCGTCGCGTCGCGCCTGCCTGTTACCCCCCCCCGTCCCGTCGCCCTGTCCCGTCACGTCGCCCTGTCCCGTCGCCCTGTCCCGTCGCCCTGTCCCGTCACATCGCCCTGTCCCGTCGCCCTGTCCCGTCGCCCTGTCCCGTCGCCCTGTCCCGTCGCGTCGCCCTGTCCCGTCGCGTCGCCCTGCCCTGTCCCGTCGCGTCGCCCTGCCCTGTCCCGTCGCCCTGTCCCGTCGCGTCGCCCTACCCCGTCGCGTCGCCCTGCCCTGTCCCGTCGCCCTGCTCCGTCGCGCCGCCTTGCCCCGTCGCGTCGCCCTGTCCTGTCGCGTCGCCCTGCCCCGTCGCGTCGCCCTGACCTTTCCCCCGTCGCGTCGCCCTCCCTAGGCCCTGGCCTGTCGCCCTTCCTAGGCCCTGGCCCGTCGCCCTACCCTAGGCCCTGGCCCGTTGCCCTACCCTACGTCTTGGCCCGTCGTCCTAGCCCACTCTTCCGCTGCGACTGAGTCCTCTTCCCCCCCCGGTTGTTACTCGCCTGTTCGTTCTCACTATGGCGACTCCGCGAGTTCTTCGTTTCGACGCCGACGGTAGACCCCTTGACTTTTCCGTCTGGCTTCTTCGCGCTCGTCGTCTGTTAGAGAGTCAGGTCCAGGGGGGCGAGACCCTCTGGTCACACGCTACTGGTGACCTCCCCGAGCCCCCCGAGCCTACAGCTTTAGGCCCTGCTCCTGACGATGCTGCTACGGCTCGCTTTGCCCGTCAGCGCGCTGACCGGACGGCTTGGACGTCGCGTGACGCTGCGACCTGCATCGCACTCAGCAGCCTCCTCCCTGAGTCCGAGGAGGTCCACTTTACTCAGGTTCGCACCGCTGCTGCGTACCTCACTGCGATTAAGGCCCGCTACTCTACTCCCGCTACTGTCTCTCTCGGCCGTCTTTTCCTCCCGTTCCTGTTTCCTGATCTTGCCTCGTTTGAGCGCTCTGCTGACTTGATCGCTCACCTCCGCTCGCTTGACGCTAGTTACCGCGCTGCTTGCACTGAGGCACAGCTTGCACTGCTTCCTCCCCCCATGGCGATTACTGTCTATTTCATCGCCACTAGCCTCCCTGACCGCCTTGCCTCCGTTCGTGACGCGCTTCTGCTGAAGCACCCTAGTGAGCTGACTATCGAGGTCCTTGAGTCTGCACTCAAGGATGTCGAGAGCAACCTTCGTTCGGTAGCTGCCGCCTCTGGTACTGTATCCCCCCCACTCTTCCACGGGTGCACAGTCCCGCAGTTACCCACCTTCACTGCCTCTCTTGCCACTGCCGCTACTGACGCGACTGCGGCTGCTGTTACGACTGCGTCGCGGTCCCGCGGCAGGGGGGGCAAGAAAGGTGGTTCCGGTGGAGGTGGAGGCGGAGGTAGCGGAGGTAGTGGGGGTGCTGTTGCGACTGGCGGTGGTGGGAGTGCAGCGTCTGGAGAGACCCCTCGTGCAGCGGCCGGTGACTCCACTGCACCTGCTGGTGGCAGCGACCCTCGAGCTCGTCAGTCGCCTCCTGTACTGTCGGCCCCGCTAGGTGGAGCAGCGGCGTGGTACCAGGCTCAGCGTCAGCAGCACCTTCAGCAGCAGCAGCAGCCCCTTTCCTCCCAGCAGCCTCAGCAGCAGCAGCGTCAGCAGCTGGCTCCGGGGTCGGGGCTGCGTCAGCCCCAGCGCGGTGCTGCTTACCCTCCCTGCCCCTACCAAATTCAGACAGGTCCTCGTCGGGGCCACCCTTGTGGCCGCTTTCACCCCCCTGGTCAGTGCTTTGCTCAGCTCACTGACACGGTCCGGTTGACCTACGGGGTTGGCGGTCCTGCTCCTGACTGGCTTCCTCTGGTTCAGCGCTACGGCTCCGCTCTGTGGGGCATGTCTGCTGAGCAGTTAGTTGATCTGATTAGTGCTCCTCATGCTATGTATGCTGTTGTTGACTCTAGTGTTTCTGACTCTGTTTACTCTGGTGTTGTTAGCTTAGGTGCTAGTCTTGCTGAGTTGCCTGTTGCTAGTGTAGGTACTTGTGTAGACTCTAGACCAGCGACTACCTCAGAGGACGCTTCGCTGTCGTTCACACTGGACTCTGGAGCCTCCCACTGCTTCTTTCGGGACAGCACGACACTTACACCACTTCCTGCGCCTGTTTCTGTAGCGTTGGCTGATCCCACTACGGGACCAGTCACTGCACGTCACACTACCACTTTACCGTGTCCTGCTGCTCCCTCCGGGTCTCTCACTGGGTTTCACGTCCCCTCGTTCTCCCGGAACTTGGTGGGCGTGCGACCCCTCGTGAGCCAGCACGTGGGTGTGTGGTTTGAGCCTTCTGGAGAGACTGCGGTGTGTGTTGACGGAGACTCTTACCAGCCTCTTGCTACCTTTACTGCTGAGCCGGGCTCGGGTCTCTACACTCTTCACACTGGCCCGCGTGCGCCGCAGCAGCAGCCGCAGCAGCAGCAGCAGCCGCAGCCGCAGCAGCAGCAGCAGCAGCAGCACCAGCGGCCGCACCAGCAGCCCCCCCTACTGCCACTGCCCCCGGTTCCCCCCCCCGTTCGGGTCCCCGCGTCTCACCAGGTTGCTACGTCCCCCCAGGTGTCTGTGTCGTGTCAGGTTCCTCCGTCTGTTCCAGTCGCTGCGTCGTGCTCCTGCCGGTCGCTTGCCCACCCCACCGTTCTGTGGCACCACCGGATGGGGCACCCGTCCCTTCCACGTCTGCGCGCTATGTCTAGTCAGCGTCTTGTCCTAGGCCTCCCACGTGTCTTGCCGTCGCTGCCGCCTTCGCCTGCGCCGCCGTGTCGTCCCTGCGTCGAGGGTAGGCTGCGCGCCACCCCTCACTCCTCCTCCCTTCGTCCGGCCACCGAGCCTTTTGAGACGCTTCACTTGGACGTCTGGGGCCCAGCCCCTCGTCTAGGCCCTGAGCGTGAGCGTTACTTTCTGGTGGTCGTTGACGACTTCTCCCGCTACACCACAGTGTTCCCTCTGGCGAAGAAGTCTGAGGTGACTTCTACGCTGATCAGGTGGTTGCTCACCACCGAGGACACTCGTGGTCGTCGTGTCAGCTGTCTCCACTCCGACCGTGGGGGTGAGTTTCGCTCCGGCATTCTCGCTGGATTCTGTCGCGAGCAGGGCATTCGTCAGTCCTGGACGCTTCCAGAGTCCCCACAGCAGAATGGGGTTGCTGAGCGCCGCATAGGCCTGGTCATGGAGATCGCCCGCACCTCCCTGACTCACGCCTGTGCCCCCCATTTTCTGTGGCCCTACGCGGTCAGGTATGCCGCGCACCAGCTGAACCTCTGGCCACGTGTCTCTCGACCAGAGGTTTCACCGACCAGTCTTTGGACAGGGTTCCCTGGTGTTGCGTCGCGGTTTCGTGTCTGGGGGTGCTTGGCTCTTGTCCGCGACACCTCCGCGGACAAGCTCTCGCCTCGTGCCGTCCCCTGTGTCTTCCTTGGTTTCCCTGAGGACTCCTCTGACTTCACCTTTTACCACCCTCCCTCTCACCGGTTCTTTGACTCCCGTGACGTCCGTTTCGAGGAGTCCACTCCGTACTACGTCAGGTACCCCAGTCGAGGTCTCCCGGTTCCTCCTCCCCCCCTCTTCCTGACTGCCGTTCCCCCTCCTGCTCCCCCGGTACAGCCTCCCCCCCCTGGTCCAGCCCCGTCAGGTGTGTCCCAGGCTACCCCTCCTCCTTCGGTAGCCCCTCCGGTACAGCCTCCCTCCCCACAGTCCTCCTCGCAGCGTGCCGCTGGTGCTAGCTCTCGAGAGGTTGGTGCGACGCCTGTTCCTGTACCGGTTTCTGGTTCTGGGGGTGCTGGAGTTAGAGCTGGAGTTGGATCTGGAGTTGGAGCTGGAGTTGGCACTGGAGTTTCTGGTTCTGGGGGTGCTGGAGTTGGAGCTGGGGTTGGAGCTGGAGTTTCTGGTTCTGGAGTTGGAGCTGACCAGGTGGGTGCAGAGGACGCTTGTCGTCCGGGAGCTGGTGCTGGCCGCGCGGACACTGGGGGTGCTGCGTCTGGGGGTGAGGGTGCGCCTCCTTTGGGTTCAGGTGAGCCTGGGTCTGGAGCTGGTGTTAGTGCTGCCTCTGGGGGTGGTGAGCCTAGTTCTTCTGGAGTGGACTCTGGAGCTGCCGCTGCTTCGGACACTACTCC